CAATCAATCAATCGATCAATCAATCACCGGAAGAAGAAAAAAAATGCATTTTTTTTTTTTTTTTTCAATTATTCGCACACAGCCAAACCCCCGGAACCAAAAATTTATTTATTTATTTATTTTTTTGTTCGAGGGGGTGGGGCTGGGGTTGCGCCGTCCCATGGCGCTTCCCGAATCCCCAACCCCTCTCCCCACTGGCCGCCACGTGGCTTCAAAGCCGCGCGGCGCGCGGACACGTCCGCGGGGTTGCGGACTTGGTCGCGCTTGGCTGCCGCCAGGGGGGATTCGTAGTTGGGATAGGCACTTTGCTGATACGCGGTTGCGCTCTAATCATCGATGCAAGAGCCTCCATGACAATCACAAACAGCAATGGTGTGATGGGGTCTCCCTGTCACACTGATCTTTCCATCCTCAAGGACAGCCACCCCCACCCGAGCCGAGTGTAGCATGGGCCCGCAAAGAAGAGGCCATAAGGATACTAGGAGTGAGACTGACTGTTGGGGGTCCCCAACCAGACCATGGGGACATGCTGGTCAACATGGCCTTGGACCGGCTGGCCAACTGGGAGGGCCTGCACACATCACTGGTGGGACCCGCCTTAGCAATCAATAGCGCGGTCTTGGCGGCCACCTGGTACAATTTGGCAGTATGGCCATTGAGCAAACAACAACACGCTAGACTAAAGAAAGCCCTCACGACATACCTGTGGAAAAACAACACTAAGGCTCAGGAGTCAGGGCTGCGTCGACAGGGTGAAGTGGGACTTCCTCACACCGCCCAGATCCAAAGGGGGTTTGGGAATATTGGATCCTGAAAACGAGACTGAGGCAATTATTTTCTGAGTCCTCTTCCGGGCAAACTGGTAATTGATTTTTGTTATCGGGGCCTGGGAGAGGGGGGGGGGGGGGGGGGGACAGAAACCGCTAATAATGGTTGGTAACGAACCATGTATTGGTTGGGGGTTGGGGGCGGGGAATCCTACTGTGCGCCTATCAAGCTGTTGTGCCTGATACCAACCAGCCTAGGGACCTCGCTCCACTACTCACCAAAATGTGCAAAATGAGAATGAATCTTCCGCCAGAACATGGAAAGATGCAGTGCCATATTTTGTCTTTTGTGCATGTGGGGAGTAGGGGAGTGAGGCCCTAGCTCAGTTGACAGTACAACAATGAACAGTTGAAGTACACAGAGTACGGATAGTACAGGTAGTACAGGTAGTACAGGCAGAGTGGTCAGTTTTGAAGGTTTGTAACTTTGTGATGATTGTAGGCTTGTTGTAGGTTTGTAGCTTTGTATTATCTTTGAACTAGCAGATGGAAATTGGAAATGGTATAAATACCGGGGTGAAGCAGCGTGCATGGGGGAGATGGGGCATAGGTGATTGCTGGGTACATTGCACTAGGTGGACCCTCTGACCTGGACCGACGATGCCTCGTTCAGAGGTCTCACCTTTCTCTTTTGTGAGGGACGCCGCGCCCCGTTCTCGGCTTTGTAATAAAATATGTATTCCATTTGAAGTACACAGACATGATCTCAGCCTAAGATCCAGATGACCACTAGACACTGGACCCGGTTTCCATCAATCGAGGGAGCGACCAGGTGCAGCTCCCCACCAATCGAGGGAGTGGCCCGGCGGCCAAGACCTCAATCCTGGTGGTTCTCTTACCACGCCCGGGATGGTTGACTTGTAAATGGGCTTAAAAGTTAAAAAGTCCAATAATTCGAAATTACCAGGGGTCTGTCAGTTCGACAAGGATTTTTTTTTTTTTTTTAACTAGTACACTATATTCTTCTCTCAAATCTTTCATCATCATTCAAATTATTGCAAGTCAGCTTCACTACCTACCTACCTACCACTACTCCTAAGGCTTATACAGGGGACCCCTGCGAACATAGCTTTGTTGTCTCCCTCCAGCCATCAGAGGGGATGCATGTTGGTCCCCGCCCCAACCGTGGTGGTCAAGGATGGGTTGGGGCCGACCCCCCATCAGAGGGGGTGCATGTTGGCCCCCGCCCCAACCTTGGTGGTCAAGGATGGGGTGGGGCTGCCAGTGGGGGTCCGGCGAACACAAAGAACGAGCATTTTGCCAGCAGTAGCTGCGCCTCCCTTTTCATTGTCCCTCACCCCAAACGGAATAACAGCAGAGTCTAAGGCCAACACTCTCCCACACACCACACGCAACCCACTCACACTCGCACTACCCACTCACACTCGCACTAACAGCCTGCAGCGCAGTTAGAGCCAGCCAGCGGTGATAGTCCGCTTCATACCTTCGACAAGGATTTCTCAATGCTGTCACCCTTTTCTTTGACGGAGAGGCAGGGAGGAGATATGCCAAAGGGGGGTTATGTATCATTCCTGCAACATGCAGCAGATGTCCAGGTGCATTATGACTCATGATTGATATTGAGGGGAATGCATCTGGACGCTATTCAATTTGTTGTTATTCTGAATGGCAGTTGCAGAATTCTCTCCTCTTGTAATTCTCTTGCGTTGCTGTGTCATTTCACACTTCTTGGTCAAAAACTTTTCGGTCGCTTCTCTGTCAACTTTTGGTCAACGTTTTGGTCAACTCCTTGGGTAACTTTTTGGCCAACTTTTTGTTCTCAGCATTTTGTAAAAAAACAACAAAAAAAAGGACTTACTGGTCAACTTCTTGGTCAAAAACTTTTCAGTCAACCTTCCTGTCGACTCTTGGCCGATGTTTTGGTCAACTTGGTCAAGTTTTTTTGGAAGTTCTGTCTTTTTTTATAAAAGAGGACTTTTTGGTCAACTTTTTGGTCAAAATCTTTTCAGCCAATTTCTGTGTCTACTTTTTTTGGTCAATGTTATGGTTTAACTGCTTTGTAACATTTTGGTAAACATATCGGTCAAAGGCTAGGCTACCAACCGGGCCGCCCAGGGCCCGGGTGGCCAGCCCGTGCAAGGACCAGGGAAGGTCCCAGCCAAAAAAAAACCAAAAAAATCCAAAAAACCGAAAAAAAATCTAAGTTACGCAGAAAACTAATCTGAACAACTTTTGCCTCAGGGTCACATCGAAATTCTTCACCAGATTTAGAATACAAAAATAAATTTTAAAAATATTTTTTTCTTTTATTTTTTTGTAATTTTTTTTTGCCCGGCCGGGCAAGTGACCCCGGGCCACTCTGGTAGCCTAGGTCGAAGGCATTTTGTTCAACTTCAACAATTTGTTAGAAATTCTAAAATATCAAAATTAAAACTTCCTGGTGAGTTCTTTGTCAAAAACTTCTTTGAGAATTACTGCTTGATCCAAAAAAAAAAAAAAAAAAAAAAAACACTCTTTGATCAAAAACTTTTTTAGGTCGATGCAGTTTGTAGCGAAGCTGCACAGTCGAACTACTACTTTTTCTTCTTTTTCTGTTTTCCTAGACAGTCGACTTACTTTCCTTTTTTCGAACTACAATGCTGGCCCCGGCTGACCAAAGACCCAGCCGTTATCGCTACCTGTGGTGCCCTTATACTTTACTTTTTTGTTTTCTGTTTCCCTTTTTGTGGTCGCCCGTGCGTGTTCAGGATGCTCAGCTTTCAATCGGCCAACGACATCTGTTCAGCGCTGCAATCTGGTACCCGACAGGCGATGGCCGAAGCCCCTGGACGGCGGAAGGTCATTATGTCCCTAGTTGTAACTGGATGATCCTAGAGTTGTGGCAGGGGCAGGAGCCACTGGGGGGGTGGCTTACGGATTCCCAAGCGAGTATCGAAGAGACATCGTCAAAATGGTTAGCGGTTTTGTCGCTTCTGTTCGCCCTTGTTGCAGTGGGCGTGTCCATCGCAGTGGGAAGCTACGTTCAGAAACACTCTCGCCATTTTCAACATGTTAACCCGAACAACTTGTGATAATTAACTCTCTTTAATAATTTAATTATCTTATTTTTACAGTTATTATGTATGGGGAGAATAGATTACGAATCAATAATTATTTTGACTTCGTCGAAGCAGCAGAACGAGAGATAGGTGCTGAAGATCCTGCCTCCCACAATTACGGGGATGCATGTTGCCTGTTGCCACCCTATGCTTTGCAGGGGTCCCCTGTATAGGCTTATTAGGAGTAGCGGTAGGTAGATAGTGAAAGGTGAAATTGAGAGCAAAAAAAAAAAAAAAAAAAAAGATGCTGCCTCCTCTCTAAAAGGGGTGTTCCGATGTACGCATCATTTGACATGAACGACGTAAAATAGGTTATGCATCTTTTGCGCAACAAGCCACACGTGTGACCAAATTGTACTCTCCTTGCAATAGGAATGGTTGGGGGAGGGAAAGGGTGGGGAAGGGGCGAAGGGTGGGGAAGGGGGTAAAGGTGGGGAAAGGGGGAAGGGTGGGGATGGGGGGGAGCGAAAGGGAGAGGAGGAGCAGGAGGATATGGGTTTATGAAAGAGAGATGATTACCGCAGCAACAGCTCGGTCCGAGTCGGTCGGTGCTATCATCACCCGGTCGCTTGTCCATTGACATGGCAGGATGATGGGTCCCTGGTAGTTGGTGGAGCAACCACCATGAATGGTATGCTCTCTCTAGTGCAGCTCTCTCTTGTTGATTGAGAAATTGTGTTTTGACTTTTAATTATAGCAAAACTCTCTGTGGTAATTTAAAATTGATGATGTCAGACTTCTCTGAAAAGTCAGAGCAGAGCTTGTCTTGTCATCATGATTCATGATGGTATGATGGTGACCATTTTAGTCTTTTATGTTCACATCACAATTGTTCTTAGTACTTATTAAGCTACTACCGTCTTCACCCGAATAGAACGTTCGGTCATTATAGCAGTATTTGGTGCGATTTTCAGTCCAGATACAGCTATAATGACCGGGCGTTCTATTCGGGTGAAGACGGTAATAAATACTACTATTATGTACATCTGCCGGTTGAACAACTACATAGGCTCATCATGGCTGCATGACTCTGTCAGTATCATCATTGCTGCCACACGTAATTATCGATGGGAATGATATGACATGATCGTCAGGTCACGAAGCAGAAGCCTTTGATGATGATATCGGGTTTGGCTCAGTTGTAACCCCCCTGACTCAAGTTGAAGAGGATATTGGGTTTGGCTATTTGGTGGTTCAGCCTTTGAATCGAGTCCTTGCTGCCGGGGACGAGGATCATCATCAGGCCACAAATCAGAAGAAGCCGTATATCTGGGTGGATAGGTGAAGACGCATTTGCATTGTTATACATTTAGAGCATATATCTTTATCTACGAATCTTTTTTTTTTTTTTTTTTTTTTGAGACGATGCTCCAATCTATTCGTGGGGAGCAACACGGCTGGGAACTGGGCCCAGCGTCCCTTATCAGAATACAAAAAATGAGCTACCAGGGCCATTACCCAGCTTCGGCTAAGAACAATTGAAGAAAAGGGAAAACTCAGAAACATTCATGGGGGACCACCACTCTCTACCAAGTCAGTAGAATATGTGTATCAAAAAGCCTCCCAACCACAAATCAGATAGGTGAAACCTATTCAATCCACCCACGACCACAACCAGCATGGCTGTTTTCAGCACGAACTGAAGCGCCGAAGCTTTTCCAGGCCTCATGCTCCCATCAGGTTACAGAGTTGCACCACCTTTCTCCAGCACCGGCCAGCATTGCTCCAGTTACGACCGCCGATGACCACTGACACTGGCCCCGCAAACAGCCCCCCAGACCTCTCTACCAGGCCTCACGCCCCCACTAAGCTAGGTCACAGAGTTGCGCCACCTGGTTCCAGCTCCGGCCAGCGTTGCTCCAGCATCGGTCTTTGAGGGCCACCGGATTTTCGACCTCCCTTCGCAGGATCACAGACGACTTGCCAGATAGCACCTATTTCGTAGAACCTCCTCGAGAGGCAAAGAAAAACTGGATGTTAGAATTCTTCGAGAGAGATCGCCCCTCACTCTCCCTACCCCTCCCCCCTCAGCCCTACACTGCCTCCGCCAAGGCGAGTCACCCACTCTCCCTTGGCCCCAATATAGGACCAACCCTCTACCCCCCTTTCCCCGGGAGCACGCAGTTCCCACCTAAAGCATGCCCCCATCCATCCCTTGCCCACTTCTGCCTCCGCTGGGACTGACGTTGACCCACACACCAGCCCCTGCCCCAGAATAGGGCAACCCCCTATTCCGCCCCTACCCTCTTTGAGACATTCACCCCCCACCTTGTGATGCCCCTGCAAGATAGAGCTCCCCCCACCCCCTTCTTACCGTTCAGCCCTCCGGGAACGATCCAAGCCAGCCGACCACAGTTATTGATGACACACTTACCAAAATGTCGATCGCTATTTGGAAAAACAAGGCCTTTTCAAAAATAAGCAATAGTCCTTCGGGACATCCGTTAAAATTGGAACGATACAGAGAAGATTAGCATGGCCCCTGCGCAAGGATGACACGCATATTTAAAAAAAAAAAAAAAAAAATGCAATAACCCCCGAAAACACCCTACATCTTTAAGAACCAACCCACTGAAGAAAGCAGAGGGCGCCGGGTGGCAGTAAGACTATTACAATTATTCCCCTGCCCCTTGCGCCAATCAACATTTGGCAGCTCCCACCAACTCACAAACCGGCCCGTGTCGATAGCGGAGCAGCGCGGCGCTCCCGGTTGCGCCGCGCTGCTGCGTCAGGTCCTAGGACGGAAGTCTCCAATCAAATACTCACAGCGAAAAAGGAAAATAGCAAAACGTCTCTCTTCTCTACGAATCTTTAGTTTGGCCAAATTTGAAATTCATATGTGTCCTCTCTAATTTCTGGAGAAATTGTGGCGTATGCGTTCTTTTCGGATTGTCGTTATCATTAATAATATGAATTGGAAACGACAATCTGAACAAGATTGGGACACCCCCCGCCCCCCCCGAAAAAGAAAAAAAAAAAGAGAGAGAAAAGATTGCAACATTGGCACCAGGCAGGCAGACAGCCAGATAGAGACAAACGAAGAGGTGTGTCCAGAGGGTTAATAGGAGGGGTCGCTCACACACACAGAGAGAGAGAGAGAGAGAGAGAGAGAGAGAGAGAGAGAGGGAGGGAGGGAGGGAGGGAGGTGGGCAGATAGGCAGATAGGCAGGCAGAGACTGTGGTAGAACCATGTCTATAAATAGGTCGTGAAAAGCTGAGGGATCGAAGCCTATTTCAAGATTGTGGTTGTTGCTGAATACAGTTTGTTGGTCCTTCGGGACATCCGTTAAAATTGGAAAGATACAGAGAAAGAAGATTACCATGGCTGTGCGCAAGGATGAGACGCATAAATCGAGAAATCAATACAGTTTGTTGATGACAGGTGCTCAGGCTTTACTCAAGGATCATCATGCTTCTCCCTAAATTCATTCTTTTTTTTCATTTTTTCATTTTTTTTTTTTCCCATTTTCTTTTCATTTTTTCATTTTTTTCATTTTTTTCATTTTTTTCATTTTTTTCATTTTTTTACTTTTTTCATTTTTTTGAAAATTTTTAATTTTTGAAATTCTTACAATTTCAACAAAAAAGTTTTTTTTTTTTTTTTTTTTTTTTTTTTTTAACTTTTAATTTCCCTCATCGTGATGAAGGAGGGAAGGAAAGCCTTAGGGTGTTTCTGCTGCTCCAAGGGTCTTCACAACTGCCAGCTATGGAGGCTGCCTGGTACCCTTTCCATGGAGAGAGTAGTATATGTGTGTGCCAAATTTTGCTGCTGATTTCTTTTTTTGGCAGGTTTGACAAGTCTGCACTTTTATCATTCGTTTCGGACCGCCGGGATTGCGTCCCAAGGTATTGGGCTGTCAATAGAACAGTAGGGTTTTTTTTTTTGTTTTTTTTTTCCAACTAAGCTAGATTCCTCTCTCAATTCCACCTTCCACTACCTACCTAGTACCTACCGCTACTCCTACTTAATCGTATTACAGGGTACCCCGTAGCAGCCAGGCTGAGTTCACCATTCGTCAACCGAGGGAACATGCGGGGGCTGCGTCTGACCTGCCAGGTGGGACCATGCCAAGGGACCAATCCCTGAGCCTCCTCCCCTCCGCTCCCCTCCGCTCCTTCTCCCCTACAAACATCGGCAGTCTAATCGTAAATTCCATAATTGCATGTACTATACCGTGCGAAGTTGTAAACATAGATTGCTTTCTCAACCTTCCTCTTCCACATCAGAGTAGATGTCATCATTGACTTATGTGCCGTGCGGATGTTTGGTATGACCGCCCACTGGAACCGAGTCTAACCCCCCCCAAGACTTCGTTTCAAGTACACGCCCCATGTTCCCCTGCCGTCCAAGCTGTGAACACCTCTCGGTCGCACTGTGCCAACTTTGAAAAAGTACTCGAAAGGAAGACCAACACGGTAAAACCTCCCTCATTTGTGCCAGTGGGGGACTTGGCCAGGTGGGGGCCTCGTCCCGCACCTGCAGCATTTTGTGTTTTCTCAACTTGAATGCTGAGCTTTCAAGTTTTTTGTGTTTTGTCAACTTGAATGCTGAGCTTTCAAGTTTCTACCACTTGCGGCATGGTTGGACAGAGCACTGCCTTTGATCGGTTGCAAATCTATTGGTAAGCAAATAATATAAGATAATTTACTAGATTTGTAGCAGTCTTGCGGGACATCTGTTAAAGCACGGGTACATGGGCACCTGGGTCGCAGGCCTGACACCTCGAATTCTGGCAGCACGAAATGAGAACGCGACCGCCGCTCCAATATATGAACGCCAGGCCCAGCGTTTGACGTTTCGGCCTCGTTTTCTTGTGTGACAAGTTTCCAGACTGCAAGGCTGGAGCCGTGTACTACCGTCTTCACCCGAATAGAACGCATCCTGAAAATGAACGTATAGAAGGTATGTTTCCGGCCCAATACAGTCAAAACGAGGGTGCGTTGTGTTCGGGGGAAGAAGGTAGTGGTTTAAAATTGAAACTATACAGAGAAAGAAGATTAGCATGCCCCCTTGCACAAGGATCACCCGAATAGAACGCATCCTGAAAATGAACGTATAGAAG